GAAAGATCTGCTGCTAAAGCTGGTTACAAGGCCACGCTGTCTAGTTGTGACGCCAATGTTTCAAAACATGTCGGAAAGAAATAGAAATTGATTTTACACCTTAATTTCCAATAACCATTGCCACTAACCATTCCTGTTAAGAGCCTGAAACAAAATTGGAATTTAAAGACATGAATATGCAAATGCGTTTTTGAGGGTTTTTGCCAGGGAGTTCTGTCAATGATTTTAATACAAACCATTTTTAATCAGCTTGGACCTAGAGATTTTTTCAACATTTAGTGATCATCCATTAAAAAAAAATAAATGTGCGTTTAATAAATATGCGGCCACGTAAATTTTCAACTTGCTTTTATAAACCTGATTAGCGTTTCTCTGTATTTTAAAAAGTGCGATTTGCTTACAGTGCTTCTAACTTTCATAATAAATGTGATACGTATGATCTAAGGAAGGGTATTGTTTTCCGAATATAGGCATGAACTTGAAGTTAAAGAAGTGTGGAGAAAAAATACATGATTTATCCTTTGAAGTTGTTCCCTGAATTTCACGACATGTGTACGATTGTCATTCATTAAAATACTTCAGTCTCTTTGTCGCATTTACTTCGGAAAAATCAGGCTTTGATGGTCTTTTTTACCTCTTTGCTTACTTAATCAGACAATAGCATAGCATATTTAATCAGGTGAATTGCTTGGCATCACAAATTCAGGTTTTAAAGCTGAATAATTGAAATTGGTTCCTAAAAGCAAATGTAAGGGTTGTTTGCGTTAGTCATATGTGGTTTTAAATTTTTGTTACACGATCAAAAGTTTTTATGAAAATAAATCAGGAACTCGCCATAAATATGACTGCGACCTGTGAGCACATTATCCCTAGGTAAAGCAATTTTTGGTTCTGCCGTATATGGGATTATTATTGACCAGTGTATATGAATATAGGATCCCAATGGATCAAAATAGCTTAATACATCGATCCAACATAACAAACTGACGGCCGTTGATTTGACGCGTCTTTTTTTAAATCAATGGCTTCTTCTCCATCGATGAATTTATTTGAATGCATTCTTCCACATTTTGTTAATAAAACAATAATAAACAGGCTGCTGGCTCCATTTTTGGACTCATCCATTGTGGTTGCGACAAGTGCGTTTACTAGGAAATTTCAGAGCCCAAGAATGTTTAAGATAGATGCACTTAACCCAGGTTGTAAGGCACACCATGGCTTATGCGAAGGATATAAACGGAAGTCACCAGCGTCAGCTTATACGGCAGTGCTGTCCGGGATAAATATGATTTAATTTTATTCTTGTGTGTGGTTGGCCGCTGATCTTCTGGAATGAAAATTAAAACTCATGGACAAAGGAATCATTAAGAGCGTCTCGGGATTCAATTTTGTTGAAGTTTTTAAATAAAACTACTATGTGATTGACACTGATTTCGAGAGGGTAGCAATAAGGAGACGGTTGCAGCAATGCTGCTTTTTTACCAACCATAATCCAGAACATTCTGTCATCTAAGTTGGTTGCTTCCTTATATAAAGTGTTCCTTATTAATCCCTGTATTTGATCGGGTGATGGTTATCACCATATGAAAGTCAATAACACGTAGACAGAATTGGTGATCCTGGCGTGGTCCAAAATATGTGTACTCATGTACCTTACTATGCGACCAATGGAATACTGGAGTCCTAGTATGAAGGTGACTAGTTCAACAGATTTGGCCTTATCGACTAACCACAAACGAGAACTACTCGTCAAACACCGTCCATCCGAGTCCACCACGCTAGCTGAGCCGCTTTTAGATATTACTTCCCAAACACACCTGTCTCTGGTTGGCTGCCTATCTTCCTCGCAAGCCAATGGAACGCAGAGGGACAGAGCATTACCTGAGGCCAGCGTGGTCTAGCATGTCAGCGCCCTTATTTGTCGCCACAAGAGCTGAGAGTCGGCGGTGTTCTTAACTTTACCATGCGATCACTTCGAAGGATCATTGTAATTTGTGTTTTAGTTACAGGTTTGTCGATTTTTGCAATCTTTATTTGTTTTAGGACTGTTCATTTTATGTTGGAGTCTAGTTGGTTGGAATTTTTTTATTGGTAGTATCAGCGGTTTTAACTTAGCAAAGCCTGTTGTTTCCTTATCGCGGAAGATCCCGAACGTTAGTTTTAGGTAATAAATTAGTTTTTTGATGAACCTTTAGATTTGGAGACAATTCTGACGCCCTAATAGATGATTACCACAAGATCCCAAATGCTCACCATAAATTTCCGGACGGTCAAAAACACTTGGCCTTTGTAAACAAACGCCGAAATAAGCGTATTATTGTAGGTTATCTTATTAGGGACTAAAAATTTGGCATTTCGCTTTTTATACAGTTAAGTCGTTTCAGGTGGCTGGTGGAGCAGGGTTCGTGGGCTCGCATCTTGTGGACAGCTTAATGCAAGACGGACACATTATAACGGTCTTGGACAACTTCTTCACGGGAGAAAAAGGAAATATATACCGTTGGGTTGGCCACCCTCGGTTTGAGTTGATTCATCATGATGTTTCAAATCCGATTTTTCTTGAAGGTTTGTTACCTAACACGTATATCATTTGTGCTTTCCATTATTACATGACAGCTGTTAGCACCTATTTTATAACAAGATTTGGTTTTTTCCGTCGTCATAGGACTTGATAGGAACTTACCAGAATTTTTTTAATCCTACTAATTGAATGGATGTTAATGTTGCACTTACTTTGATTTGCAATTAGAGGATTTAGTCGTTATGCGTCATTTTCACTTAAATTCGAATCTTACATAATTTACTCCCTAGGATCACAGGCGACAAAAATGGGTTTGCTGCTTAATTGAAAACGCTACTCACTCTCCATAGGAAGTTCTTGCCTTGGGATTAACTTCTGCGTATTTCCCCAAAGCCGACAACAGAAATGTTTTGATATTCTTTTAACTCTATCATATTTTAGCCGATGAGGTTTACCACCTAGCATCTCCAGCTTCTCCTCCAAATTACATGGCAAACCCTATCAAAACAATGAAAGCCAATCTTCTTGGATCGATAAATCTATTAGGTTTGTTTCTTTGCTAATACTCCATCGTTGATTTATACTTTTCTGATTTCTATTTTGTCAATCTAGGGCTTGCTCGACGCGTTGGAGCCAAATTTCTTTTCGCCTCTTCGTCCGAAATCTATGGAGGTAATTTGGAGGTTTAGTGCTAATATACCGGCTTTTTTAGGTACACTTATCCCATTTTCCCGTACACTTAGACCCAAGCGCGCATCCGCAGTCCGAAACATACTGGGGCAATGTAAATCCCGATGGTCCTCGATCTTGTTATGATGAGAGTAAACGGGCCTCTGAGTCCCTCGCTTATGCTTATCTTAGGAAGGTCAGCGATGTTATATTTGTGTATTGACAATTTTATTCACATTAAACTCGAATTCGCTCCCATACGTTTATGTTGTAGGAAGGTGTCCAAGTTCGTATCGCTCGCATTTTTAATACTTATGGCCCACGCATGCAATTCAACGACGGCCGAGTAGTCAGTAACTTTATTTTACAAGCAATTTCTAATCAGGACATTTCCGTAAGTTGTGCGCATTAAGAAAAAAGGCTTTTAGCGCATCTAAATGTTTTCGTTATCATTTGACAAAAAACCTTTTGTCGCTTCTGCACCACTATTCATTTCTTACAAATTTTCATCTCTAAACATAATCTCTTTATTATCTATACCAGCCCTCAAGGTTACTTTTTTATGGGAAAACGAACGCTGTAGATGTTTGATTTGGATATGTGAAATGATTTAGTTTGTCGCTGCCCCTGAAGGCACTGCTTTAGGCCCACTGTCCGGACACATTTAGTTATTTATTATTTGTTAACGATTGTTACATATTCTGATTTCTTGGCATGCGGAACAGTAAGTGCTACTCATTGGCAGATGAACTAGAATCGTGTTTTTTGTCATTCATTAATGTGGCATGTACAAAAGCTCAACAAGGTAACCGCGAAAACTGGCCCAAGTTAAGCCAATGTAAAGACGCACTAACATGAATACACCTTGAAGAATTAAACACGAGGCCACCGAAAAGAGGCGTGTTGCACCAACCAACCTATAACCAACAATGACGCCGCTTCACACGAAAATGACAAACACCAGCCTCTCAAATCCACTAATTTGCAACAATGTACCTGCGATCTTTAACTCTCGATGAAATATTGGTGTAGTTGACGCCCTTGATGTTACATTCCTGAAGAAAATGATTATTAAAGAAAACAAACTACAATTTTCCGACTCCCAGGCAAATTTGAGACCGAAACCTCTACTGGAATAATATCATTCGAGTTTGCTCTGCTTGTTCCTAGAGAAAATGGGCCTAGATATATTCGATTGAGAATGCACCACTCACATGGAGTGATATCCATACTCGTGTTGGGATAAATGCAAATTACGCGCCACAATGTTACAATGCGATTGGCATACTATTTCACTAACACGAAATGCGAATCAGCTTAACCGATATAAGTAGAATTGTTTTCTTATTTGTCGGCAGTCTGAAGTTAGGTGGTATTAGGCAACACCTGGTGCTCCCTTATGTACTTGACATCCTTACCTCTAAATAGAACGGATTAAAACACAAGTTATTTGAAAATTTACAGACGAAAAATTACTTAATGTAGAATTGGATTTTGTTTGAATGACCAGAATAGACTTTGTACCACGAAAGAAATTCAGGGCATGTATGTTAAATTAAATTGCCTTTAAAATTAAAAATCCACAAAACCAAACCATATTTGTTTATACTGTCCGGAATATTAAGAAATACGGTTACCCTTTGATAGCATAGGAAACGGTTGAATAGAACTACATCTTTAAAAAAAAAGTAGACAAGACCTATGGTAACAACGACTTTATTGCCGTACAATTTATAAAATTCTATCCTACCAATATACAGATTTCGAAGAAAAACTTTTTGATGAAGACCTTATTAACAATAAGTCGACATTTAAAATTGCTTTTTATGACATGCTGCTATAAGCTGAAGAAAATCTACCATTTTGCCAATTTCTCTTAGATTAATACGAACTTTATTTGACTTAATTCTAATGTGCTTTTGTACGGAAAAGAGTGTGAAAAATAGTAACCCTTCAAATATGTATAATACTATAAGAGTTATTTCCTTTTATTAAGCCCACTATATATCAGACGCAAAATACATCTTTTGCATCGAAGCATTCTTTTTATAAATAGAAAAAAAAATTGAGGCACAGTTGAAAATATCGACATTAAATACCGGACACTCTGATGGACATCCATCTTTCCTATTCACCGTTAATATCGGAAATATATTTAAAAAGAAATCAAATCCTGACCTAAATTTGGTACTAGAAATTGCGAGGTGAATAATTCTAACCTGCTACAAATGAATTGCTCATGATGACTTTAATAATCGGCACCTACGTTAAGCTTCCTTCATGACAACTTTCTATCCGTTTCAACAACGTCAAGTCGGAAGTTCTTTTAAATTTCAAAACTTTCAGGCCCAAGAAAGTGAGCTTGAATACTTGTGTTTTGCACTGCCGGCATTTACGCTATTTTTATTGGTATGAACCCACATGGACTCTTCCTAGCCCTTAAGGATTGGCCAATCAATTCAAATCTGTCGATGGAACTAGGAAACCGGACTGATAAAGGTCCTCGAATCGGGTTAACTCAACAGGGTATTCAAAACACTTTCGACCACTATTTACCAGAGAATATTATGACCCGTGATTTCCCCTACCCAGACTCTCCTTAGACTTCGTGACACTTCTTGCCATCGCGGATGCAGTCTTTTATCGTTATGACGGCAGCCACGGGACTTCAGAAATCTGATGATCTAATAAGGTAGTGACTTACTCTGTCACGCACATCACAAATAGGATGTGGCGCGAGGCTCAACAAAGCCTACGAACTATTATATTCATTTTATATTTTTTGCACGGTACCGACCTTTCCATCTTTCGGAATACAAGATGAGACAATAATTAAAGAGATTAGAGAATGCGGTTGCACAGAATGTATGTGTTGTGCAACAAAGCATAAGCAATAAAGATGGCAGGGCAGGTACTGGTTAAATCTGAGATGATGGGGGCGTATTTGTATCGAGAGGCCCCAGACTCCGGTTGTGTTCTTATGATACAGAGTCAGTGGCAGAAATGAGTCGTGAGGCAGAGCGTGATACTATGAAAGATCTGCTGCTAAAGCTGGTTACAAGGCCACGCTGTCTAGTTGTGACGCCAATGTTTCAAAACATGTCGGAAAGAATGAGAAAGCCACTGACTCTCTAACATCGCGAACCGTTCCTCGTTTAGGAACAAAGGTTTGCCTCGCCTAAAATGAACACAAAATGACATTAATCTGAAATCCACTAAAGTTTGGTAATGCGAAATTCTGCATAATCAGAACATACTTCAAATCAAGGTCCTCCTCGCCATAGGAATCCAAGTAAATGGAACCCCATTCACACGAGCTCAGTCCCAGAGACACGTGAACTAACGAGGTGTTTATCTCTAGAGCCACACCAGCAAAGCCATCGCAGCGGTATGCATGCTAAGGGAGAATGAAAAGCTTATTTATTTCAAACCTAGTGTTGAAAGCAAAATCTAACCCAACGTATCTTTAAACAATCACGGAAAAAGACAGTTGTCAAGTCGTACACTTTGCAGAAGTTATGCTACAACATCAATTAATTATGGATATTATCAACCCATTTCGAAGATGTTGATTCCTCAACATGTTAGTGTGCTAATATGAATATTACTAGGTAACATGTAATCTAGGTGCAGCAGTGTGGGCGTGCCTGCGTTACCAGAATGATCGGACCGACTCGGATCAAAACAGGCAATTGACATTAAAAAGGTTACCTGATACATAAGTTGGCCCAGGTTGGGGAAACATATGTCACATAACAGTTGCCCACAAATAAGGCAGAGGACATTTTTCTGGAACTGGTGGCGTGAGGTTGCACAAGCAACCAAATGGAGACTGTTGAATAGATCATCAAACGCATGCGGCGGCCGGATTAATCGGGGCGGGTAGAGCTGTCCACCGATGCTCATAAGAGGCTTAAAAGTAAAAAAATGACTTGGCCACGAAACGTGGATACTCACAATGATAAATAGTGCACTGAGATTATAAAGAAGCATCGATAATGACGATGTGAAATTTTTTATATTAAAAAAAAACATTAAAAGCCTCAAACCAGTGTTGATGGAGGAGTGAGCACTAAGGTGATTTTGTGATGCATTCAACAGACGCTCAGTACACAATTATGATTAATTCTGTTAAACTAATTGACGCAAAAACTTGCATTTGCTGGCCAAAAAGGTGGGTGGAATTTTGCTAAATTACTCCTTTTGCTTAAAGTAAAGAATCAAATAGAGATTAATGTCACTTGAAACATAAATATTTCTGTAAAACAGTGCTTAGGTTTCATTGCCTTTATCCTTTCGTACATCGAGCAATCTTAAACCCAGCCTTAAAAGGACTATGACGCAGAGAACCTGTGAGATTGTCCGGGCAAAAAAGGAAAGTATGGGCTTGGAGTAAAGATAAATAGGGCGTTCCTTACCCCCAAATATTTGACCCAGTCGATAGCCGTGGTTTCGGGCCTTTGACCTACTCCAGATTGGGAGAGGGTAAGATGCGGACCACCACGCAGTGGTCGACTTCGGAAAGGATAGAACGTTCGCAGAGTCTGACGCAGGGTGGGGGGCGATGGGGATGACGGAGCGTCGATTGAGCTATCAGCTGTGGCTGGTGCGTCCAAAGAAGAGCACACCGGCGGTGGTACGTCAGGAGAGGTCTCGATGGAAAGAATTGACTCTCGTCTGAAGGTTGAAGACATTTGATTGATCCAGCGATGCAGAAGTTCATCCAAGGCAGTTGGACCGTCTAATGACTCAGTAAGACCTGAGCGAAGTGCCGCTGCTTGGACAAAAGGCAGAAGTGGCCCAACACCAAGCATGGGATCGTCTTCGTCTTCTGCTGCTGGCAGTAGATAGCCAATTCCCAGAAAAGAACCCAGAGCAAGGAATTCTTTCACTAGTTGGCCCTGTAAAAACACAGAAATGCATTAATGACAACCTGATCGATGGAATTGTAGCAAAACAAAACTATTTGGGTGACTCAAAGGCATTTCGACAAAAAATTTAGGTTGAGCCCTAAAGACATTTTCAATCCAGTTAAATTACTGTATTTAAACTGCCATTATTAGTATACGAATGTGGTAGACCGCAGATAGGAAAAGCAACAAGTTGACTATTTCTGTAATTCGACCCTTTGTAAAACGGTACTAGCAATTCATCTGCAGATTACGCCATCAAAAATTAAATCGGGAATTTTATCGGTCTCACTTTTTCGAGCTCAGGCGCTTCGGCATTTGACAATACGCCAACGAAGGGTAGTGACAAAGCCGCTACAGGACCGGAGGAGTTCTCATCGTGCACGTGAAAACTATCCAGCCAGCGGGCATAGCAGAGGGCAACCAGACGAAGACAGGGGAGCACCCGGGAGATCACATGGTCCTGCAACTCCCTTCCTGCCTCCATCGGGGCCGAGGTCAGCTGCAACATTTCGAGATTAGCGGCAGTCTGAATATTCACGGCCACGTCAGAAGGAGCATTGGAAGTTGTGGAATAGGTAGTGGCGAAAAAATTACGCATTGAGGCATTTTTCTCATTCTCTGAGGAGGAACAGGGCAGGCTGTCGAGCAGGTGATTCAAACAGGAAACCACGGCAAGTATATTGCTCTTCAATGGGCTTGGTATCTAGGCGGAGAATAATATGCAAGCAATGTTTAAATAATTATTCCGAACGCAACCAAAATTAAACCAGCTAAGTTTAGGGCGAAAAATGGTCTCGTTGCTACGAATTACGAGCAACTGGCTAAAGCGAGGCTTGAATGATAGCATGTGAACAGAAAAAAAGGTACTTGCCCAGTAAATGAGTGCAAATAGGTTTGTTACCGTAGTTTGGCACTGATAATTTAAATTAGGAGTTTGGTCGAAGAAACTCGTTTGAAAGGTGCAAAAGGGGCGTCACTATTTGGACAAATGGTACAATAGTTGTCCATTATACGCAATCTACATGCATTCACGCTAAAGACTGACGAATAACAGACCCTATCCAATGATTCACAAGCCACCCAAGGATTCCCGTTATCAGAAGAATCATGTTTATATGCATCTGCACAGAAAAACAAAAAACAGGAATAGTAAATGCGAAACCCACATTCTTCATCCGGTCTTGTGTGCACTGGACAGCAGAACGCTGAGAGTACAAGTAGGATCCATTACTGGTGGAGGGAATTTGGCCAAGAACGAGACCCACAAGAGCCCGAGTGTAGGAAAGACAGATGCACGCAGCACTGAGGGCCAAAAAGTGGTCTAAAGAAGACAAATGTGATTGGTAATTGATTGAAATACGATGGAAGCAGAAATTCGATGCTACTCAGTTGATGCAATTATACACCATGCCAATGCCAAGTCAATACGATTCGCAGTGTCCATGGGATCGATTTACTTCAGTGCTGAGCCCATAAAATGTATAAAGGGCAATACGAGAAACGGCCAGACGAATTACAGCCAGCATCATGGCCCAGTCAGGACCCAACCCATTACACAGTCAACACATTTATCCGCATGAAAAGCCTGGTCTTAGGCCTTGACTAAACAAATCAACATACCTTGATTCGGCCAGACATGTGGTAATAAAGTCAAGAACACATCCGCTGGATCATTACACAGACCGAACATAGGAGATACACCAGAACTACAAGAAAGCAAACATAACTATTAAAATGTGAGTGTTCCACAGTAAACCCCTACTTCTAAATGACTTCTCCACAGCTTCAGCAGTTGACAAGGGATCGGCGGATAAGAAAAGTATAAGATATTTGTAAACATTCGTGTCTGACTTGAAACGCATTCCCATTAAAAATCACTATTAATCGGCGATACAGTCTTCTTCGTAGGCTTTACAAGTTGCGGAATTCCGTCTATGTACAAGCTGCAGTTTCCCTTCAATGAAAGTCCTAGGCTACTTGCTCATTCTCAGTTCAGGTGGGCAGTTACAACTTAGTTGAGCCACCTGGTAAACGGATGTCTCTGCCATCTCCGGTTTTCTTGACCTTCCAGTGTACCTGAGTAAAGTAATAGGGCCAAATCCAACACAGCGGGCCCGGCGTGGTTCAAGACCACATGCCGCGGCCTACAACAAATTTATCGAAAGCTGCCAAAATGTATCACAACACATGTATATTGGTGTCATTTTGGACTAAAGTTGATGCATAGCGATGACGAGTTGCCTTTAAATCACTATTACTTCTAATCGGCTTTACAAATAACTAGGGAAATGAAGTAAAATTTCTGACCACCCTCGTTATCATTAGGCCTTGAAATGGTCGAAATCAGCTTATTTGAGGAACTATTTTGTGAAAGTCTGATTTCCTGAGAACTCATCCTTATTCGGACAACGAATAAAAAAATTAGTTCAAGTTTTGCGCACTTTCCCAATAATATGCACGGCTACAGTTGGCATGTCGAAACACAAATAATGTCGTTTTGTTTTGAAATCGAAAAAAACTCAACCAAAAGCTTCATAAGGTATTTTTAAATAGCCTCGTTCATTGGTTGGGACAGCTGATGAACAGACGTACCTAGTGGCAGATGGAGAAGGCTGCTTGCTTGAGGCTGGATTATTGAGGCCTGGTATGGACGCAAGTGTGAGCGAATCAACCAAACTCACTAAATCCGACGGAGATCGATAAACGTAGCGCATGTAGTTCATGAGTTCCTCTAAAAAAACACGTGACCACTTGCAACAGGACAATGTTATGTGACAACGACTTCAGCAAAGACATACTACTCCAGGAAGGAAAGGAACATCGATAAGCAAATCCTCAATACTAGTAGCACGGCAATTAAAACAACGAAAGAATGAGTAGTGATTAATAGCCACAGACGTAGGCTGGACTAGACAAACAGAACGATAACTGAGGTGCAGAGATTAACCAAGAAGCCGACGCATTCACACAAAAATCCCATGAAATAAGTAAAAGATATCCACAAAAAAACCTATTCCAGACTGAAGGAGTTAAGCAATTAAGTGCTGAGAGCAAGATACACGTCCATATCGGCCATATTTGTAAAGAGAAGCTCAAGCAAAAAAAGAATGGTAGTTAAACCTAGGTGCATGGACCTGTACAGGAATGCAATGACACTTAAATTGGGAGGTTTAAAATCCAAGTGTAAGAAATATTTGATGAACGAAAAATATGCGTACGGAAGAGACACCGACGAACAACGCTGTGATATTGTGACGGACAAACCATGAGGACAGAGAGTTCTGCCTCAAATTGAGTCCTAAAAAGAACAAAATGTACATAGTCAAAGGGTTACTAAATGTAGCAGACAACGAGTCACTCAATTTTCAACTGTTTAACTGAACGCTATCTTCGTCATAGGCAAATACCCGGACCGATAGCATTGAGGTTAGCAAACTGACACGTACAATTTGGGAAACTCCCCTTAAAGGTGTCAATTATGCCTGAGTGGCTTGAAACCACAAACACCCCTTACATGCTCTTACACTATGCCAGCTTCGACAGTGCACATCAGTATATTAATGTCCTTACTTGGGATTCCAAGGAAAGAACTTAAGTAACGCGTTATGGACTAGCTAAGTGCTGGCAAAATATGCAAAATATAAACGCCTGAAGGAAAGAATAAGGCATTATGTTCAGTAAATGAAATGCATTCCGATGACCATGTCTGGAAGTAACAGTCAGTTTTCATAAAACAGGAAGCATGAATGCTCAAACGGGGTCAATTGATAAACACCCAAGACTGTAACTGTTCGTTCAACGAACATTGTTGTCAAATATATCGTTTTTTCTTTAAAACGAACCAACAAAGGCAGTGTTGGGTAAATGATTTACCGGAGAAGAACTGCGACCTCACTGACTTTGCCAAAGAGATCGGCCATTAAGCTGTACCGATTCTGCGGGTCGTCATCGCCACCTCCCACTAAATTGCTCCAGAAACTGTGCTCCTGCTGTGTCAGGGAAGTCTGTCAATGGGAAACAGAAAAAAGTGCGCTAATTTTCAGCAATGGAAAGTAAAACTCAGTACTGAGCTCGACAAATCGTTTGAGATTATACCTGTGGCTCTTAATTTGAGTTCCTTGGTAATGCATACAAGACTTAACGTGCGCAATTTGTATAGCTTAGCTCTATAGTGAGATTCGATCGGACTAGACACAAAGTCGGAAATTAGGATGGATTTGAGACCCACAACAGGTACAGAGCTGAATAACTGAGTGCTTTAAAGAAATGAAAAGTTGGGCGAGTTCCCGGATGATTGGGATCAAAAAAGCGGGGCTTCATGAGGTGCACCGTTTCGGCCAAATTAAAGTAGATTTACAGAGGGGGCGCATACAACTTCGAAGTAATGGACCGAAACTCAGATAACGAGGCGAATTACAATAAAAAAAACATGTCGAAAACGCCAAAGCAGAGTTAGGCAAGCATGATTTGTGACTTAAATTACCCTGAGTTATGTTACAACAAAGAAATTTTGTTTTATCATGGACGCGAAAGAAATGCACACACAAACGCACTAGTTTTTCCCTAAGGCATTGGAAAACAGGCGAGTGAGCATCGGGCACTTTGTGCGCGGAGACAGCAGTGGTGGCCTCAGATGACGAAACGGCATTCTCAGAGTTAGTAGTTCGGTGAAGTGGCAGCAAGTAGTGAACATCACGTCGACACAGGGGACACGAGGCAAGCCAGCGGGTTGAACTGATGCCGCCCTGATGCATGCTCTGCAAAGAATGGTTAATAAAGTAAGTGACGTACTCTGAAGCACAATGCTAATTTATAGTGGGACACAGTAAAATTTGCGTGATTAGCTACTTTCGACCCCTCAACCACACCAGATCTCGGTGATCGTACAAACACACACGCATGTAATGACGGAAACAGTTTGGAAATCGACCTGACGAACCTGGTGTCGGTAGCGTTGGAAACACTCCCGGTGGACAGCATGACCACAGGTTTGCAAAAGTACACCTGATCGAAGGAGAGGCAAAGACAATGATACACTCATAGGCAGAGCAAGATTCCACCAGCGCCGACTTTCCACGTAGGCCACTGGTTCCAGTACGTCAGCATGTGATACATTGTTGGTGTGGGACCCGATTGTAGAACTGGGCGACATTATGAGAGTTCCAGGAAGTCGGCTGAAGGCGATTCTACTGCTGCTACCAATTGCATCTGGATCAACGGTAGAATGTGGTTCCCCCCTCGGAAAAGCGTTGTCCATCCGGTGACGAACCTCAGGAGGCACAATTGGCATGGGTCGAGGCAGACAGACCTCTTCACTGAGATAACTCTGGCTGTAAAACATTCGTTCTCCGCTCAGTTGAGGCAGGTTTGGGTAATTTCTCATTTGTTGCATCACTAAAGAAGGGAAGCAAGAATTTTAAAGCATCACAGAGCACTCGTGAAAGTGTGCCACTTGAAATCAGCCACACAATAAGATAATCAGTCCCAGCTCCAAAAACATTTTAAAAAGTGGGGAAGAAGTCCGTCATTAAAGAACACTTCCAGACATGAACGCGTGAAACAAACCACGATTTCGTCAATTCGCATAACCGCTTGCAAGGCATGGGCCCAAACAACCTTGATTTTTCCGGGAATCACAGACCACTCAGCATACCCACTTTGATGTACATAAGATATTTAAATAATCTAAATATACCACTAACACGTATAAAGCCCATGCAAGTCAGTGTTCAATGAAAGAACCATCAAGCCACAAGGAACACTCCTGTATTAATTTCATTTTGAAGGGTGATTTGAAAGCCAAACACTCACGCCCTGATTCACACAGCATGACAAGAAGGACCATTGGTTGGGGCTCTGGTGGAACAGCTTGGCAAATGACGCAGTCATAATCGTAGTCCATTTTCGACTCCAGGTTGTCCATTGTGTCGTCGTCGAGTTTATCTAGAATAGAATCACCCAAGTTAGGCTCCCCATGTCGGTCAACGGAGGTGGCGTGGAAAAAGCTTGAGTACGATAATCATCAGATGTAAGTTTAACGTGGAAATTTCGTGGACTACGAAAGCCATCGCGATGACGTAAATAATCGCACTCGCGTTGACATGAGCATTACTGGTACACGCAGGGTGAAGTTGTGCGATAGCCGGAAGTTCACGGCCCAGCTAGCACAAGTGCACAACAATGAGTGGAGTGATAAGCCCGCGACGAATGATAACACAGACAATTATCATTAAAAATGAACTAGCACATAGGACTCAGCCGACGCGACAAGAAACTAGCAGACTTGAGGTCAAACTGCTTTAAACCCTTTTAGTTTAGAGTAAACTAAAAGAATAAAAAAAAAGAAGAAAAGGCATTACCCATTTCAATATCTTTGAGAAAATTACTGGCGAAAGCACGTTGTTTTGATGCCATCTGGTCGAGGAGACGCTTTCGTCGTTCTGATGCGGCTCTTTTTCTTTGAGCTCGCGCTAATGTGTTATTTTGCAAGCCAGAGAGCAGCAAAGAACTACAAAGGAATATAGAAAAAGTGAAAATAAAAAAATACATGGACTTAATTTTTTGATCCGATGCATACCTATCAGCAGCCTCGGTCACGGGTTTGGAATCCTCGTTCATGTTGAATGGATCCTTCGCTCTTTCAATAAACATCTTCAGCTGCGTCTTACATTCATCCGAAAGCTCAACAATTTTGTCCAACAATCTAGTGACCCAAAAGACACCATCCCCACACTCAACCCCATTATCGTTTCGTTTCTCTTCCGGGATTTTGTAGGCTGGCTGACCAACAGCAAAGTAGCGCAACTCGGGGGCCATCTGGTTGAGTGCAGCCAACATCCTTTCCTCAGGGGTAGCGTTGGGAGATCCTGCTTGAAGGGCTCTGGCCAAGGGAGAGGAAATAGGTCCAGTGCCGCTATGTTCGCCGCCGGATTCACCGATATTTGTGTCGTTGAGGACACTCATACATCGGGCTGCCAGAGCACTGACGTCGGAGGCGGCCTGAGGGTCGGCCTGAGCAGCGAGATTGATAAAAGCAGAGTCTTGGGCGGCCGCTGCTGCCGCACTTGAACAAGTGGCGACAGACGACTGTGGCGCCTGAGAATCGACCGTGTTTACCAAATGATTCCACTGGAGACGCGCGTGAGCCTTCACCAGCAGAGAGAGCAAGCTGTCCACCATGGGGCTAGAAGGAACCAACACTTTCTCACAACTATGCCGGTAGCTTCTTGAAACACGAAGAAAAAATTAATTGGCAGATTTTGATAGCATTTGCCCACACCATAGTTACAAACACCAACGTTAGTAATACTGTTCATTCTTAAATTTCCCGCAAGTATTCAATACTCGTGGAACGAGAACACGAACGAGCCTGAGCATAATTTTGTACGTGGAATAGGATATTTTAAACCAGCCCATGTTCCCAAAACTATGGATAAGCCGACAAAATTTGAAGCCGGGGTTGTAAGAAAAGCAACCTACGATACACCGAAATTGCCGCATCCAACAGAATCATTTTAAACACAGAAAGTTACCATGATTCATCGCGTTTGGGTAAAGTGTACTCGAGATTTTCTTGCGTGGTCTTCACCTCCAACGAAGCCTGCACAACAGTTTGTTGGGAGGTGGCGATCCATGTCGACAAGTTGTCAAATATTGTTGGTGTCGACTTTGGTGCGGGGTAAGGGCAGGCCACAATACTGAGATCCCATTTAAGCGGAATCGTTGGCGGCCTTCGCACTCTGAAAGCGTAGGTCCGCTTTAACGACGGTTTCCGAACGAAAGCAGTTGACACCGAGGATGTGGAGGCCCTATTAATAACTGGGGATTCCTGAACATCCATGGGTTCCGCCGTGGAAGCCTCGGTAACTGGAGTTGCCTTACCTTCCTCAATTTCTTCGCTTTCTTCTTCATCCTCTTCAGTTTCAGAGTCTGCATCTGCGAACTGCATGGCCTGAAGTTCTGCCTCACGGTTTGTGGCTGCCATACAAGCTTCAGTGCACTCAATGGGGTCAAAGTGTGGCATGGTAGGTTCTACGGCGACATCTAGTCGATTTGGATCCTGAAAACACGATAAATGGAACATGCGAGGAATTTTTGGTCAACTAAGTTCGATGCATTATTATTTTTATACAGCCGTCAGATGGACATAGGGAAGACACAAGCCGCATGGCTCTTAATAATGCATGACGAGAGACAAGACACATTATGGCCAAACAATGCTGTTCAAATTTATGCATATGCTGAATTGACTCCACTGAAACCACTGCTTTCTGTTTGGGTAATGTAACCCCCATGCCTTCCACAGTTCTTCTGAAAAGTGTGCTTGGTAGTTACTAGGAGAAATCACTGTGTGCTAAAAACTACTGTTGACTGACGAATTTACGTGGAGACCATTTGCGTTTGCCAAGTTCGCAAACCACTGCAATATTAGCAAACTAAATTGTACGAGAAAAATACGATATTTTAATCATTCCAAAATGTAAACAAATGGGTACGTAAAATAAATTGATTTTCAGTATGCAAAATTTTACTTGAAAGAACAAATGGTGATTTAAAAACGACAAGGGTTTTGGAAAAATCAGATTTAAGCAAGATATTATGATGACTCGAAAGAAAAGCTTGAGTTTACGGAAGGAGTGGTTATTATCTAGTCAAGCAGTTGATGACGAATTTAACTAAATCTATTAAGTTGCAAACGAAATGCATTCTCACCAACCATAGCATTTAGTTTGGCAAGCACAGGTGCTTGCATCAGTACCACTGCATTCAGTAAAATAAGGCAAATGTTTCAACGCCTTCGGCATTAAGAAGCAGCAAAAGTTCCCAGTAAATTATGCTTCACAAACGACATAAAAAAGTCCTGCATCAAAAACGATAGAAAACTGCAGGCTTACCTGACCCTCCTTGAGAAGAACACCGCCGGCGACGACGGCCCTGTAGAGGAGGTGGATAACAATTACCAGGCTCTCCTCTGTCATTAGCGGATCTCCATACACGTACTGAACACACAAAAAGGAGAAGCAATGTAGAAATAAGACCGCGAAAATTCGTTATCACATAGCCTAAAAGGATATAGCAGCATTAGGCGTTGTACATGAAAAACACCGGATGGCTGGACGATGTGAACATACGGGCAGTAACGCCTATTTGGATATTACGTAGATAGCATGCAATCCAATAAGACTTTTCATTAAGGATTTTTATTTACCTAAAAATATACATTTGTGTATACTGGTAAAGCAATGGAGCCCTTTCGTCGTTTGCAGTTAAACCAAAAATAGCTGAACAAATTACCCAAAAATAGTGCAAAGTACTGCTGCACCAGCACGTATATGAAAAACAGGTGGGATAGTGTGACTACTTGGAGCGAGAACGATGACAGACCAGACATCGGTATGTACATCGACAAAACACTGGTGGGAGCCTAGGTAAGAGCACATAGCACAAAAAGGTCTGATGCTAATTTACGGTAAGGCTATCCCTAACATGGTACAGACAGCTAAGACGCAGAATAAGCCACATTGTTTAGAAAATTAAAAGGGGCAGAAAGTTGTTTGCGTGAATATAACTATAAGGGATTTACTGGGAAATAGAAATAAGTTGAACATTGATTTTTCCTATGGCTTAACACAACAAAGATATCTAAATGTGTAATGACCGCCTTGGTTGTTAAAAAAATTTGAGCGCTGAATCGGTTGTTATTTTTGCATGTGATTAGGTTTAGTGCTTAGGTTACGTCATTATCAGATTAAATAATGCCAATGCTGCATCTGAGACAACTGCAGATCAATCCGCTTAAAGTATAGAGACGACAACACGAGCACTTAACAAACACAAACTCACTGAATACTGTTTTTTATTTTTTAATTCTGTTAAAAATAACTAAAAATACCGCCCTGACGATGAAATACAAGAACTAAAGAACTCGAGCGAAACATGTTGATTCACGTCCACTAACCCGGTCACCGCATACGCATACTTGCCGCCTTCTCCTTTTTTTACGGCGTCCCTACCGCTAGTGCGGAACCGTCTGCTCATAAAAGCCTGTGCATGTACCACCCCCCACTAGTCATTCCAAACACGTGTCATTCAGTCATTTGTACTTTTACAGGGTCACCCAGACTGTAACGATAAGCAAGCACCATCAGTCAGACATGACCTCTTAAACGTAGTGGCACGGCGAACAACCAGGCTGTGATTGGAGCGATACAACCAATTTCAACTACCGTCTCTTAAAATTGTCCATTAAAACCTAAGTAATTAAAATAGTTCATCGTCTCTAAGATAAAATGGGAGTGGATTTGATCAAAGTGGTAACACTAAATTAAATATGGAAGAATTGTCGGGGAAAGCAATCTACGGTAGCGTGTTATCTAATGGAGGCAAAAACTGCTGAATTGGATAATAGGAAACAGGGACAAAGAGGAAGATGCATTGAAGTTTAACCTACACAATACGGCAGCTACATGCTATTAAGAAATAGTAAATTTCAGCCTAAAAAAACAGGAAATTTATGAAGTTTGTTCCAATTACGCAATATGAAAGATTAGAAATTGACCTGATTGAAAAAATACCTAGCTACACCAGCAATGAATTCCCCATGACAAGCTGTTGAAATTAGTTGGGCAAAAACTGGTTGTTTACCATGTAGCGAAGGAAAACGCAGAGCAAAAGAACTTCGGCTATTGCAAATGTCATTTCAAAAGGAGTCTAAGATACCGATACTTAAACTAATTCAAACAGGTAATTCGACATCTTATACCACACTTAGTAGACAAATTCCAGATACATTAGGAATATATGAATCGCAGGTCAGAGTACAGATTAAATGTTTGAGCTATTGTGATACCGAGAAGGCGGTGGCGAAGTTGTATTTAAAGAATAACGTGTCAAACTTTGCACTAAATAAGAGCATTCAATATTGATGAAGGAACTAGACTACCAAAGATATGCCGTTCCATTAAGGCGAGTAGACGTGAGTCGTTTCCTGTGGACACTACATGCACCATTATTGGCTCATCATTACTATTGTCATTATTGTTATTGTGCATAATAGTGCCACAAACAAATGTACTATGGTGACACAACATGTCAATATATATTCACACTTTCGGTTTCCACAACATGAAACCTCTGGTCGATGTCATAGTCATTTTCCACTTGCAACTTCATAATTTTCACTTTAGCTTTCCCTAGAAGTAAATTCTGCGCAATTTTGAGTGGAGCCCTTACTTTCATTTCAGTTTTAATATGGAATTTCAAAGCAAAAGGAACCGACATATTTTACTTCTTGTATTGCCGGTAACAGATTCACTCAACACAATAAACCAGAACATGCTCGATGAGCCGGCTTATACCACATCGAAAGTTGCGGAGTTGCATCACACATATCAAGGTGTTAATTTGGTGGGCTTACAAAAGCTTTGTGCGCCTTGAATTGCCTTCAAGAAAGCAATCGAACAAATCAGATGTCAAACATCAAAAAGTAATGAGGCTAATGCAACCAATCATTGTAGAGCACCGAGGATTGGAAAATCACAAAGGAATTGTACTCCACCAGACAATGCAAAGCCTCACACACCTTTAGCAACTCGTGAAGCTATCGGAGCTTGGTTGAGAAGTGATATCGCATCTTCCACATAACATTGCACAATCAATTTAAACACATAGTTTAAAAGTTGGAAAAATTCGTTTGACGGCATAACATCCCGAAATGTTGATGTGTGTGAGCGCGGAACCGTCAATTCTCAGAAAGATTCCATAAGACCATAAGACAAAGAGAAAACACATGATTGAATTGAGTTCGTGCTTTGTACAACATTTTAGTTTGCATTTCACGCTACAAAACCTACATTATTTTGCCGCCAGTTTGTCATATTTGGAGCGTAACTGCCGTACTACATGACATTAAGTGCGAGCACCAATATGCCCATTACTACCGTCAATCAATGTAGAACACGCTGACTAACGGTTGAGCAATAAATGGAGCATCGGTTTACAGAAAGCAGAAAACTGGCATGAGAAAGAAAGAACATACTAAACTGAGGAGGCAGAAGAGGAGGTAGTGCAAATGCCGACTGTGGAGGACATTTTCAAGATCGACAAACTCAGGGGATAATTCTAAGGGTAGACGGTAGGGAGGCCAGAATGCAGAAGTGTTTTGCGTCCGGTCAATTTGACGGCAGCTACAACAAAATTATTTACCCACAGGTAATCAACACCCTTCAACCATTCTAACTGACTAGGCATTTGAACTAAGATCACAACTTCAGTTGCGCCTTGAAATGACCCGTGAATTCTAGAGAGAGGACGAGGACAGTCTATTACCAACATGTGCGAGGCTAAAGTCGTTAACTTACTGATTTCGGTATTTCTCCATTGCAGAGGCAAGCTCACGTTTGCTTGTTATGCGAAGAGAGTAGAAAACAGGATCGAACTTTTCGTGCCACAACTCCGGCTTCAAAAAGTAGTGACCACTAACTAGGGAGCCTGATATGTTGTCGCAGGAAGGTGCAGAATACGTCGCAACCTGGGAAAGAGAAGGAACAAAAGTAAGCAAAACTGGCCTCTGGTGGTTTCGTCATCTGTCTGGACAATAATCCAAGTCAATAAAATGTTTCGGCACACGAAAACAGGAAGCAACAAATTGAAAGCCCTATTTATGATCGGCCAAGACGAATCGAGAGTACACACTCCGGGCATTTCATAAATAACATCTGGTCTTCAGGCGTAGCCGAAGTGAGGCACGAGAGCGGGAAACATCTAACTGACCAACCACAGTGATCCCAAGAATTGCAATATCAAAGCATTTGATGTTCATGGAATTCTAGTTCGAGGACAAACCCCTTATTAAACTTCAATTGAGGGATGCACTTGTCTGACAACTTAATGAAACTAATTATTTCAACAACAAGGGACTTTGATTTTAGGCTTTAAAACATTCGTTCAGTATAAGCGTGAAGTTTGGATGAAGATTTGGCCACTATAGGCGTATTCTTTTATACGATAAAACATAGAAGGTGTGAGCCTTAGCTAGGAAACTGCAGTTTAACTTGGTGTCTACATTGAGAGGCTTTATGCTGACTTGAGTCAAATTGAAATAGCTTGAATGAGCCAGTACGCGGACCACACGCAAAAAGGGAAAATAAAGGGTCATAATTCATTTTTCGACAAGATAAACCTTTTCAAGGCATTCGTCAATGGCAGATGAGTTTGTAGGAAGACCACAGCGGTCTGGCAGAAGGTATGACAGGTCGCTCCGCTTTCGTGAATCTGGAGCTAGGAAACAGACCAATTCCTTCTCAATGAGGCCTGTTTCTGAAAGACCTATAAGGAAATGCATGTAAACAGCACGCGATTCAGAAGACATTACGACTGCAAAACACAGCGACCCCGAGCATGGTAACACCAATGAGCACGCAACACGGTCTACACAACGCCAAATCTGCAGTCAATAAGGTAGACAAGGCAACTTAAAATTACTGAAATTATAAGAGCAACATGATGTGGACATCACATTAAACATTTGTACCAACATCATTTGAAATATCCAAGACAGGGAATTCGGTAAGGTAATGCAGTGGCATAACGCTGGGTGCATAACCCCATTTACCACCGTGGATAACAGCCAGCGATGGCACATAATCAATCGAAGTGAGCGTAAGCTATTAACATACTCGCTGCTTATTTACAATAATATCACACAAAAAGTACCGTAATAAAGGAATATAGCATACGAGATACGAGTTAAAGACCATGTGAAACTCTATAATAAGTCCAGTGTTCAGTAAATCGATTATTTAGTCAAGTTTTTAGTAGTATCGCTTAATTAAAATAAGCCTTGATTTATGATTGAGAACAATCATAGACATGACCGACTTCTTAAATGGAACAGCTTCTAGGTGACCAAGCATAGTGCTTCAAAAACAACAAATTCAAATTTTCGAAATCCTCTCAAACGAACAAGCAAACTAACACTCTTAAACATTATCATCCTAAGTTGGTTCCATCAAGTTCCGGTGTTTTGACATTCTCTATAGCCATTAGGAATTGATAAAAACGTATTCGTACAAGCTGACTTCATTTCGCAAGACGGTCAAATATGAAGTAAAATGCTTAACATTGCATGCCTTTGTAAATTTCTGCATATAGAACAGGACAGGAAAAAATTACCACGAAAGCACTTCATGAAACAAGCCGAGTAATGGCATTCAGAAATTGCCTACCGAGGTTATTCCGAAGATCGATTATCCAACAAAGGTTGGTGAGCCAGGCTTCGATTGCCATTGGTTGGCGGTCAATCGTAGCAGTTGAAGAAGATGGGGTAGTGAGTGACATCAATTCTCGGTGGAAGCAAAAGCTCTGTAACAATCGTGATTGGTCCACCAACGCGTTCAGAACGTAGACGGGATGCAGGAGAGCGGCGCAAACCTACAAGGAACCCCTACGTTTTACTACGCGTAGACAAGAGGCACGAATCGATGGAAACTGCTACGGGTGCATGGTCAAGCAAATTTTAAAAAATGGAGATGAGACCAATGTTTAGATAACAAAAACTGCTAAGTAGTTTACAAGCCCATTTTATGGTAAGTATCGAGCAGACACAGATGGTGTTAATGAGGTTGTAGAAAGATCGATGAGAAATGAGTTTGACTTCAAGCATCGTGATCTGCTTCAAAAGTTTGATTCTTATCTGTTAAAGACACGAAGGGATGCTTTGCCCTCTGGCATCAGCCTTTTTTAGGGGGCACTTCATCCAACGACCGACAAAATCGGAAAACATTGGATTTATAAAAGCCACGCTACTCTGAGTAACTGCCTTTTAAGGTCTGTTGTGAGTTCCAACGCATATCACTTGCCAATATTCGATGTATTCAGATATACGGGGGTAACGTTTTGGTTAAATGCACGTTTCAATGCAAATGAGATGCATGAACGGTAAGCAATACATACCTGAAAGAAGAAGATGTCCAAGTCAATCATAGAGTAGCACAACTGACTCTGCATGTAATGCATGACGGACTGGCGGATAGGTTGGCCGTTTCGCACCCAGTAGCCGATAATGACCTCGTGGCAGCCGAGCTAAAGGATGAAGTTTCGAGGACGACTTAGTCAATATGAACAACCAAACAAACAATGCAACTTAAAACTAACACCCAGCCTCGTAATCAACTGGCAGTGAGTTAATCTACAAAAACAAGCCGATGTCTGAAAGCACGTCTGAATTGTGTAGATAGCGTACTGAAATGTTATAGTAAATGAGGATATCTGTTGAGTTCACCACTAATCTTTTAACGCTTTGTCGAATTTGACTCTAATACAAGCGATGAGAGTTTACAGGTGTAGCTATAACTAGGCTTAAATCCTCTAGACGTGGTGGAGGAGATAAATACCCAATTAAGAGGCTCCAAACAGTGTATTCACACTAGGGCAGCCAAATAGATGTAAAATCATTCGAACGAACGCAACCAACTTTTCCATCTTGTTGTATTCTATTGTTTACCCACACAAAAGCAACAAATGAGTATTCATAGAAAGACTTAAATAGACCCCACTTTTTTGAGTGGCTGGTATTGGGAATTAACCGAATTTGTATGCAAAAGTATGTTAGAGAATCGGTAAAAAATGGTTTCGAAGTAATAAAGAGGCAGCTCCAATGGCTCCGTGAAACTACCGAAAGTATGAGATGTCGCGTCTGATTAAGCTGCGCCATGCCGACAAATAGAATATTACGTTAGTCGGTGCAAAAGCTTAGGGAAGCAAATTATGTTGAAAAACCGAAATACCACATCTTTCCACTTTAAGCCCAAAAGTTGGCATACTACTGAGTGAGCACAGTGAAATTACTTCAGAGGTTGATGAACACACAAGGAGTCCATGATTTGTCAGCGGAAGCAAAAAATTAAGTGAACTTCAACTTTTTTTGCTCTAAACATCAAAAGCAAAGTGAAAAGTGCGAATCTAACAATCGGAAGCTAACTAATGGCGGCCCAAAAATAAGACATGGAGCCAACTTGGATTTCGAATGGTTGACTTAATGTTACTCTGAAATATGAAATCGAGTTAGAGCTGGCCTAAATGGGGTAGTAGTTACTTAACAAACCACAGAGAACAAATACATTTAACAATAACAAATTTGTGTATAGTGTAAACGCTTCCACCAACACAGGCGCTGCAACCAAATAAAGCACTGAATACAACTCACTAGCACATTAGCAAGTTCTTCCATGAGGCGCCGTAGAACATTTGAATTGGGCTTCAAAAACGGTGCCATGAGTGTCTTTAAATCGGCCTGGTGGGTGAGCACGGAGAGCCATAGAAAGCAGGCGGCATGTCGACTTAGTGGGAGGTGGAGACTCAGCGGTCCACGAATGGGGTGCGTCCACTGAGTTGAACTGGCAACCAGACGTCCGAGATGGGTCAAGTGGTTGGCAAGGGTCTCGAGACAGGCATTGGTGTACATCAAACAGTGGGCCTTCTCTGGCTATAAATACGGCAATTTGATGCTGAAATTCTCGTGACTAAATCATTGACATTTGGCGAAAACTAGCAATTACGGTAATTTTTAAGTCAGAAAAATAACGCTGCCGGAATTACAAGTAAGGATTTTGGTGGTGACTCAAGTCATGAATGAAAGATTACTTGGTGAAAATAAATCGCTGCTGACCACGCACACCGATGTCCGTTTAAACGTCACAGAATGTCTAATTCATTAAGCAAGGTAAGCCAAGTCCAAAAGAAGCTATGAAACATCAAAAAAAGAGCGAAAACAGCATGCATGAATTACGGCTGATGAAAGGCAAGGCTACCGGTAGAATTCGCATTTGTTGATCATATCCGTCATTCTAGTATTGAGATTTGCATAATTCATCGCGACAGTCCCATGACGACTGCTGGACCACAGACGCGGTGATTCAGACTAAAGGACTAACACTAAAAACGTGGCGCTCAGATCACAACCAGACGACTCGACAGCTCAAATTATTGCCAAAAAAACGTCCAAATAAAATGCAAACTAAATTATATTACACAATCCTACAATAGATGTTCAAAATTTAAATTATCTAAAATACACTTGTGGCATTTTCTGCAGAAAATTTTTTTTTATCTGTGACCTTAATAATAATAATGGTAATAATAACAGCAGTAACAATAATCACAACAATAATAATCATAATAATAATGATTTTGGTTACGTCTCGACCGCTGTGAATAGCACTGCACAATCGCAGTAATTCCGGTAGCTCAAATCCACCGTAATATCACGTTTTACCAATTTACGCATCAACACAGCATGATCTGATTAAAGGATTTTTTACATACTGAGTCCTTTCCGCCAAAAGTCACGGACACATCGGAAAGATTTGGGGTAACTTTATTTCCAAATTACTAGACATGTTGGGAGCATAAAAACAATTTAAATAGAGGGATGCAGCCTCCTATAATAATCAGTCTTCGACATCCCATTCAAAGCACTTTAGAATCTTGGTTAGGATAGGAGAGTGACTCACTGGGCTCTTGTAATGCTGCCATATGTACCACATCGAGGTAATGCCGACTTCGATTTCCATCGTCAGACCGTGGTAGCATGCCAAAGTCTCATATTCAATGTGGCTTCCTTCCTTCATGGAGAAGCAGTTCATGAACTAAAAGAAAGCAACATATGAAACCAATAATAGGGAAAGGCAGGTTGTAGTGATTAATTTCAAGTTGGTTTCCGTGTTTTATTAAGTTTCTGACGAGAGATCACACGAAGCCCCTAAATGATGCAACAAACGTCTAAAGACAAGACGAAGTGCTCCATAAATATGCGTACTAAACTTGTAAATACGGAGAAAGGGCAATCCTTTGACTTAATAATGTAGTCGAATCTAATTAAATTTTTAGGGAAAGAAATTGGCTTTATAGGTCGGCCAGGGGAACCACGAGTAAATAAAAATACCTTTTTTCACTTGAAATTAAGTTAAACACTAGTCACGTTGACGGTGATGCTGCATGTTTAAAAGAGGGAACCAGCTAACCTGCATGCTCCTCAGAATATCAGTCCATAAAGACAGAAAGTGCTTGTCTTCTACAAAAATATCAGCGACGGATTTATGGGACAAGAGGTTATTAAGATCAGAGGTAAGCGGCCAGAAGGCATTGTTTTGAATGAGCACAGCATCGCAGTTAACAACCATATTTCCACGATCGTCCAATCGCTATAACAAAAAAAGGGTCAATAAACAAAACTTCCCTTAGATTGCACCGTCGTTGGACAAGTTATGGTATTATATTTGTGGCTGGAAAGTGACCTGAGATTCACAAGTGCAGCCTACATCCGAGTCCTTGTGACGGGGAAACACTGTTACTTAAAGTGTAACAGACCCGATGTATCATAAACGCTATTTGCGAAGTCCCTAGGTAAAACATTCATAGAATGTAAATACGTTATCTCAGAAATAACCTTGTACTGTGCGACAAACACATCTTGTCAAGTGACTATGTACCTTATACATAGAGGAAGTTATGGTATTTTAAAGGTCACACTTCAGGTAAAATGACGTTAAAAAAATGTGGTCATAAATTTACTTACAGTACGAGAATGGGCAAACATATTCCGCATCCACGTAACAATAATGTAGTGTACAGAGCGTTCTTTTACCATCCGATAGGCGGGCTCCTCGCCGCTAAACAACTGAACAGAGATATGTACGATCCGGTTGTTCAGTTGCATCGAGGCCTCGGGCGAGATATTGCGAACACGTGCCGTTATCATCAGTGTTGAGGCCATTCTCGAGTAATGGTCAACGTAAGAATCAAGGAACTTTTCCTAGGGGCAAAAAATCCTCTAGTGAGTAACAAAACGTTATCGCGATGTCTATTTGAGTCAACATAAGTGCTTCTAAATATATAAGGTCATTAAACCACACGCAGTTTGAAGAAACCTTCATTCATTTTAGCATACACACACAACCGCTCGTGAATTACACTAAATGCCGAAATAATGCTTACTTTGAATTTGCTAACAGCGAGCAATCCAATCAGAAGAGTGCCCAGACTTTCAGGGAACCGCAATTTCGTAATCATAAATAAAAAGGCGTCGAGGAGCGTCTTATGATTTAACTTCTGTGTGTTTTCAACATCTAGAATTTCAAAATGAGGATTAGAAATAGTGTGTTCAGCCTGTATCCAATATAAAGCGGACAAGGCAATGGGTACCTTTGATTGAAAGGCAAGGGTCAGATGCCACGCTTGCCAGAAAGGACCGACAAGCTGAAGTACAGGCGCTCTCTATTAAAGCAGACCAAATAGAGAAGAAGCATTAAAGCCGTAATTTGGTTTATAAAATAATCGATCAACTGAAACCGAGTATCACATAGAAAGATAACAAAGTCATTTTGGGGAACTGTCGTGATACTACAAATCACAATAATAGGACAGCAGCACTGTCTAATACTTAATGAAGCAGAAAAAAGGCTTTCTATTTAATTGCCATCCCACATTTATCAACAATATTAAGATCGGACAAGGCTAAATTGGAGTTCTAGATTTTGAAAAAAAACGTGGTGCATCAGATTGGCAAACACAAAAGAGCCGTTATTTTATTTGAGATGAGAACATCTAATTAAACCGTACAGAAGATTCACCACAAAGGCTTTTACAAAAGTTGCAACATTTGGTGACAATGAAATCAAGAAGCTAAAACCTTAAGATAAGTCATTATGACAAAAATAGCAAAATTATTAACAAACTGCAAGCATTTAAAGACAGTCTTAACTTACCCGTAAGGAGATTTTGGTAAATATCAGGATTAATAAGCACATCAGCCATTAACTTTTGCGTGACCCAACCGCAGGCATGAAGACGATGGAGGAAATACAGCAATGGAGCTTCTGTTTCGGTGAGAGATACCTCCTCACCCTTGCTGCGATCCCAGAACCAAAACATAAGCGCTTTCATTACGCTGGGTAGAAGGAATTCCAGGACAGCGGTAAGCTCTTTTGGTGGACAGGGTCGGTTAGCAACCTTGTCAGCCCCGTGAAAGCGACAGTTTCTACAAACATGCACAAAAATAAACAATAATGTAAATCATATTACGAAATAGGACCCAGCGTTTAAATTTCCTACTTCAAATTATGCGCGAAAAATGTAGGACAAAAACATTTTGCTAGAAACATTCAGGTAATCTTACCCGGATGATCGGATAACGGATTGATCACCACAGTCACACGCACCACCACACATGCTCTTGAATTTGTTGAAATCGTGGTTCTCATGGTTACCAGCCGTAAAACATGCCCCACACAACGACATACTAGGCGTTAATCCACACGTCCGGCAACGGTAAGCAAAATAGTCCCCTGTCCAAACCAAGCTACATCGAGCTGAAAAGTCATAATTCTTTACTAAAGAAATCAGATGCAAAAATTGAACATACATGCACTCGTCAACTCATCAATCCCCTTTGGTCCAGCAATGAGGTGCGCAAATAATTTAGTTAAGAGAAGATGAATTGAATGCTGAGAGGGGGGACCAAGAGACCCGCATAAGCAATCATATCGGAACATGGATTTTATCCCACGGCAAAGAGGAGAATCAAAGTTGCCTGCAATGCAATCAGCCGTTAATTTATCGTGGATTTCCATTGGTGTTGTTTGAAACCGCAAGCAAACGCTCTTGATAAAATCTGACTCATCTTTGACAGTTGGTATCCCAATCTCAAAGAGCTCCATTCCGGTACTAGAAAACAGCTATTTGATAATAGTTGTATACGAACGAATATTTTTGCTGGCCGACAGCTGTGTTAATAGCAGGACCAAATCTTCTGCTCAAAATTGACTATACTATACCACTTCTACGCCAAAACAAAATTCTCCGTTATTGATGTACGTGTTTTTAAAGTACGGAAAATTTCAGGACAGTCAGGAGCGATTTAGCCCAAATTTATCCAATGAATTAGAAGGTCCAGAACTCAACAAAAATAACTCAGGGAAACATATCAAAACTTCGCGCTGCAAAATAGTATATACTTAAACATTGAAAGTAAATGTCTGGTCACATACAATCGCAACAATAATAAATGTTTTGTAAGCACAATTAGATGCAGTTTATGTATATAATTCGTTTGTATTTGCATATATTTGACTTGATGCTTACACAATCAAAAAAATACATAAATAAAAAGTCCTTTATCATTTGAGCCTAAATCTGCAGAGCTGCACTAACGACCAGTTGCTTTCGCACGTGGAATTACATTTAGTCCCATAAATGTAATAATCAGAAATGTTACTTGCTGTTTGTTACATTGTGGTTGGATGACAACTTAATTCAACCCAATTTCTATGTGTGGCCATTATGTGATTTCTTCCTGAATTGCTTGCAAGCTACACAGATAGAATTATTCTCTTTTAGGCTTTACAATAGGACGCTTATCAAACAGTACTTTTAAAAATAGGGTTGTTTGCAGTAACGGCTGCTATCTGCTTATTATCCCTGTCATATCAATGGTTGTTTTTTTGACAAAGAAATCATTTCAATTTCTAATCCCATGCCTGTTTGCCTTTTTTCAATATTCGGAAAAATTGTCATATAAAAGTTTTGATAAAGTATGTTTGTATATAACATGAAAACCTTGACGTTTTGGTAATGATCGTAGAAATCAGCTTTCTACTTCCTGCATAATTTTTTGCGTTTTCTAAATGTCTTGTCACCTAGGCAGTCATCTAAATATACATTCTTTCTGCATTTGGTGACTTGGGCACAGATTTTTTTGCTATTAAAGGTAAAGGTATTGCAATTCATCTTGTCCTTGACATCTAAATGTATCTTCCGGCAATATTTCAATCAATGTGTTGAAGACAACCTCAAACCGTGATTTCTCCATCACGATGGAATGTCAACTAATGTCGTCTGTAACCTCCTTCATTTAAAGAAAAGTAGGAATTTCGCAGTACACACATTTCCGTGTCTTATTTCCACATTTGGTGCAACCTCACGATTTCTTTAAATCTACGGATTTCTCTAATAAAAAGTACTGTAGGTGTGTGGCCATGTACCCGCATAGTACTTTTTCGGCTCAGAATACATTGACAATGCATTTTGCTGGTGATGAACGAGTATGACCGCAAACGCAGATGGCTAATCCAAACTTTTTAAACCGACATCCCTCCTGTCTTCCTTTTGGTCTTTTCAGTCTATAGGCTCTAAATATCGTGGACCTTCTAACTAACGAGACTGACAAAACAAACAAAGAGACAAGCCAACGCCAATGTCAAAGGCGTTTCGCAAAAGCGATAGCTCACTGTGCCTAATGGTCCTCTTTCAGAACAACGCCTGTAGCCGTGGAATCACACGATTGACACGGTCAACTGCATACGAGCAGATATTGCTTTGAACCCCTGTTCATCAATAGCTCTGTCTTGCTCTATCATCAGTGGGACCTACCTTCCAAATGTATATAGGCGCTGCAGTATAGAATTTCAATTTTCGTGGCGAAATACAGTGCTGTGACCTCAGAGGTCCAAAATGGGAGCCTATGGTTAGTCACCGATGCAATCAAATTTCCTATACCTGTATTCGAACGATTAGGATCAGGCAACTTTTCAGTCAACACAAAGTGTCGATGTTTGTAGTGGACTGACAGCTACCCCGCGTGAGTGTGCGTGCATGAGGGCCCGAGTGGACCAATGACTCACCCCTGTTGTTATTGGCCTCTGTCAGCATTCGCCTGTTACGCACGCGTACTCACACGCCCACAAAGCCACTTGGCTGGTGTGATCCTAATTAACGGTCGTGTTCTCTGTCGCCTCCTTTTCTCCTATCCTCGGGTAGTTACGGGCTGTTAACTAGAGGGTTGTAATGCAGAGCTAAATTCCCTAGTCGCTACATGTTTGCTCACACACTTAAGCACCCAAGCGTTTCACTTTGATTTTCCCCCTTATTTTTATATAGTCATGCAGGAAAAGTCGCACTTTGATTCCAATCTGACGCCAGGGCAGCTCCTCATCTGAAAAAGACCTATTCATTCAGTTTTACTAGCTCGATTTTACGTAGTTGATCTTTCCGGGCCACAATCCTTCAATACTCGACTAATGCGTTCAACAGGTTTGAACGAAAAATTATTATCAGGATGATCTTGGTTATGTGAAAGCACCTACAAAACCAATTTGCGAAAGTAAAGCTGTTGATATGAACCAAGTATATGTTATTAGCTCAATAACCTGGTTTAAATGTAAATATAGATCCATGCCAAATGTTTGCCCTAACAATTAAACATCTGGCACACAAAAACATCATCACCATGTCTCTAGTGGTGTAAAAGTCTGTAATGAACTGTCTTTTGTTAATGTGTATTGGGTTTTGTTGTAGAATATCCGATCCCATGCAAGCAAGATTTATTGACCAAAGACAAACCATGACTGTCTGTCAGGCGCTGTCCATCCAAGTCAATTATACCGGCTGCACCGCCCATTGTACAGTGCTTCTCATCCATCCTAGTCTCATGTTCCAATGCCCGAGGAAGATTTGCACCAATCAAGGTCCATTATTGCAATGTGAAGCTAACGTCTCAGGTGTCGCTGTATTCACATGTTGTTGCACTGCTGCGCAATGATGTCGTTGCTGAATTCACTGACTTGCCTGAGCCAGTACCCTTCGAAAAACCTTATTCAATATTTAAGGCACTTTTTTTTACTTGAACGACAAGCTTGAACAATGCCAGTCTTCAACATTTACCCTTAATTATCAAATTAGGTTGTAGATTGGGCTCTTAACATATTTATCAAATGCAAACGTAAATTTAATTGTTGCGTTTCAGAGCTCTGGCACACTGATAGAGTTCTCAAAAATGGCAGACAAAATCTACGAATGTCCCTTTCTATTCTTGGGAAAGGGAACCAACTTCTCTGGCGTAGCACCAAGCAAGAACAACTTGAGCGGAAACAAGGTAAGGGAATGAGTTGCTAACCTCACATTAAGAATGGATGTGTTTTCTTCTGGACACCCACAATGCGGCTAGGATCAATTTCGTCGTTTCCGTCAGCCTAATTAATCCAGGAAGATATCCGGCCTAATTTTGTTACCATCATTTCTGTGGCAGCAAGTCACAAACTTGTAAAAATCCACTCAGCCACCCAAAACTCAATTTTTCTAAGTGCCCATTTAGGACCGCAACAACCGACCACTAACAGGGAAAAACGGCTTTGGTACTCAATCTAGTTCCCTCTCTTACGTCACGGATATAGCTAACAGTATAACATTTGAGACTGATCTACATATCAATGCTAAGGTAATACACCCAGGACCTGACAGATACCACCTCAAAGCCTTTAATCTTCAAATTGCTCACCATATTTTCGGGTCTAAGGCAACTATTTCCATTTATTTATACTGTAGCCGATTTTCTGCGACAAAAATTTATCGTTAAGCTTATTAAAAATGACACGATCTACCTGTTTTCGGAATACCTGATTCAATAACTTCGATAAGACTCATTTTGGCCTTGCCTGATTTATACATTCATGACTTTTCCATGGGTTTAGTCGGCACAAAAAATATTTTTAAGGCTGGACCTTGTCAAGGCGTATTATCAGGTGCCTGTGCCCCCGAAGACGCCTTCGAAACTGCCGTTTGAGTTCTTACGTATGCTTTATGGTTTGTGTAGCACTGCCCAAACTTTTCAGATTTATAATCCAAGTGCGACGTGGCTTTGACTTCGAAAAAGCCTGTATTGACGATATTCTCATCAACAGTGTAAACAACGACGATTATTCGCTGCACCTGCGGCAAGTTTTCACAAATCTTTATGCCCATGGCATTACAGTAAGCTCTCAAAAATGCATATTTGGAGTGGACGGCGTTAATACTCCCGGAAACCACGTTGATGCAGATGATATCGGACCCCTGACAATGCTTACATCGATTTCTTGGTTTGGTCAACAGTAACTGACCTGCTTTAAACAAATCGCTAGAACTACAAATCGCTGAGGTGGCTGAAACACCGTTTCAAGGTATTGTGTATGCTATAGTAGATGTCACAAACTTGTGCTGACCTTGTCTTGAGAACGGACGTTTCCTAAGCTGCAGTTTGTGAAGTTTTACAAGACTGGACTGACGTACTGAGCCACTACTGTTCTTTCCCCCTGAGGCTTCAACCGTCTTAGACCCGTAACAGCAAATTACAACAATGCAAATACCGGTCTTTTGCATTGTTGTGAAACAAATCCGTCGCCAACTGGGAGTATGTGAGTTTAAAATTTTAAATGATCATAAGCCCTTAACTCTTGTTTTCCACGAAGCGTCTGACCGGCACCTCCCACGCAAGTCCAGATTTCTTTACATATGTTTTACAATTCACATCTAGCATCTGCCACGTTGAGGGGACTGACGACTTCGAGGCCAACGTGCTCTCTCGACCACATAATCATCATTTTTCACTTTCTACTATCAATTCAAAGGAGATAGCTGTAGCACAGACTAACGACTTGGATTTATGATATATCCATCAAAATTCGAGTATCAATCTACACAACCTGCCACTCCCCACGATATGCACTTGACGAACCTCGACCTCATGTTCCAATTTAAAGCCTCCTCACGCACCTTCACGTCCTGAAATTCGCGCTACTGTGCGCTTAATAACAGATCGTTTTGATTGGACTGGCGTTTGTTTGTGGGCCAAACACCATGTTACATGCCTGTGTAGCATAGTTTACCGACATAGTATATTGCAACC